CAAACTCCCAAACCTGAACAGAACACTCAAAAATACCCAGAACAGGGAAAATATCACAGACAGAGCGTCGGTCGACCGAAAACTCAAAACGAGCTCAGCGGTCGACCGCGTCGGTCGACCGCCGAGCGGACAGAAACCCAAATCTGGGTTTCTGTCAGCTCGAAACCTGAAACGAAATTCTTTCTCTGGATAACATCTAGTATACAACACATAGAAAAATTTATGAAATAGGTAAATAAAACAATTTATACATTTAGAAACCATTATCAAGATCCCAAACCTAATTAAACATGATTTACTCATCATTAACAATAAAAACCAAGGTTTTACTAGATCTGTTAACAGAAAACGTTGGTGAGTTTCTTTTAAAACAGATAAAAATCCCAAATCCATATTCTATACCACAGTACTCTATTAGCTATTCAAAAATACAAGTTTGGCTCATAAAACCCATAAAAAACTCAGTTCTTGACGTGAAAACAAAAGGGGTGGGGGTTGGGCGAGAAATTACTCGCCTTGGGTGTTGACAACTGCTCTGGAGATGATCCTCCTGCTCAGATCCGCGGAAGATCCCCTGGAACTCTTCCAAACTCCCCAAATCACCAGGTGCAGCTAGGGTTTTGAGAAGGGAGAGAAAGGGGGCTAGGGTTTTACGTTTCAAAACTGAGGGAGTCTCTCTCTGGGTCGTTAGCTTATAAACCCATTCACAAACCCGACCCGAACCCAATAGACCCGAAACAGAACAGCAAAGAAAAACAACCTGGAAAAACTCTCTGCTCGCTGATCGGTCGACCGCACCGGTCGACCGCCACGGTCGACCGCGCCGGTCGACCGCTCAGCATAAAAATGCCTTCTGATAGGTATTTCACATGATGATCTTATATACTCGATTTCTTTCACTTATATACACCTGATGGGTTCCCAAACACTGATAAACATATATATCTCCTATATATGTGGTTATTCATCACAAAAGAAAGGTTTATTACTATTTATTCACACAATTTCATTATAAAATTTCGGGGTTTTACATCTTGCACCGTTGTCGGTTGTTTCTGCTGAGTCGACCCATGAATTCATGAGTCGACCCATGCATGATGAGTCGACTCATGAATTTTATGAGTCGACCCATAAGTTGATTTTTAGCCTGTAACGGCTACTTATGATTCGACTCATGAAAAGTACGAGTCGACTCATAACACTGTAACGGGTATATTTCCAGACTTTATTGTTTTTGGGTTTTTGGTCTTTTTGCCTTGTTTTCTCTTGCCTTTGGGGTTCCTATAAATACCCCCACATATCCTCAGTTCAAACGATCCCAGAAATGTTTTAACAAAGTTTTAACAATGGTTTAAGTATTTTTTAAGTTTGTTTAAGAAGCTTTTAAGCAATTGGAAGTTTGAGTTTGTGAAATCAATTTCATAAGAGCTTGAGGAGATCATCTATTGGTGTTTGGGCATCCAATTATTCTCCCTCTACCTCTTGATCTATTGAGAAGTTTTCTAAACTCAACCTAGCTTTATATTTTATATTGTTTGATTTTTATTTTATTAAGCTAGTGTTCATATTGAGTTTAGTTAATTTTGTTTTCTCTTTGTTTACACACACACAACCATTGAGTTTATTGTATTTACATTCATAGTAAAATTAGGTTGTGGGATTGTGTAACTTAGAGAGTGGGATTATAATTCGTTCTCATCCATTGTAGAGAACAAACACTTTGTATTGTGCTTATTGTGAGATTCACTTTGTAATACACTTGTATACCGAGAGAAGTGTGTGGCGAGAGTCGGGGATCGTCCCAAGAGGAGTGGTGTCGGTTGACGAACCTAGGTAGAGGTTGTATCCGAGCACTTGAGGGAGACACGTCTAGTCCAACACTTGAGAGGGTGTAGAGTGGGATTGCAAGAGTGTTGAGTTGTAGAGTTTTCGGTTAGCTAGAAAATCGAGTGTATAGAGAAGTTTCGGCTTACAAACCATGTTGTGATAGTGGATTTCTCCCCGGGAGTGGGGAGCGGAGACGTAGGACGAAAGGTCTGAACTCCGTGATCATATTGTGTGTTTGTATTGTTTACCCTTGTGTTAGTTTATATATCATTGCATATATTTCACATATACCTATTTGCTAGGATATATCTCATTGTTCATATTGCATATTCTTGCTCATAATTAGTTATTATATCTATCTTGTAAGAATAGTTCTTTAATAAGTTTTAATTGGTATAAAATCGGATTAGATTAGTATAAGACCCTAATCATCCCCCTTTAGGGTCTAACACGGGTCGGCCCGGCAAACAGGGCCCGGGTCGGGCAAAACGCGTGGCTCTGACCCGGGCCCGGGCCTGAGCGGGTCAGGCACCGGGTCGGGCCAGTCATTTTCTTTTTTTTTTTGTTAAAAAAATTTCAAGAGTAAATAACAAAAAATTAAGCAAAATTTTGATAAAAATCAATCATATTATTAATCACTTGTAATTATATAATTTACAAATACAAAAATCATAAAAATTAAATTGATAAAAATAAATTCTTTATTAATAATCAGTTAATCACTAACAATTACAAATTTATTTTAGAATTTATCGCATCACAATAGATGAATACATCCCAACTAGGTTGGCACCTATTCATCTATATCACTATCATTTGCAACTCTTTCTAAAATAATTTATCATAAATTTTCAGCTAAGAAATAAAAATTACAAACTAATGAATAATTTCTACTCCTTATCTTTATCTCCTATTCAAACTCTTCAAGTTTATCTTCAATACTAGCCATCTAATCGATGTCTTGCGTTCTCTTCTTGTACCTCCATCAATCTTGTAGACACATTACCGCTTGTACGGTAGATGAATCTAACGATGTCCTGTGGTCGTCGATCAAACGTCCTACTGTGCTGAAGGTGGATTTTGAAACTATCATGGAAACTTGCACTGTTAGTAAGTTTCGAGCCATTATGGAAAATATAGGATATGAAACTGTTCAATATACTCACCACCATTGCAAAATATCGAAACTATTATCTTGACTTTTAACTAAATATGCAACTAAATATTATTCAATTTTAGAAACTTTCATTGATGATCTATATCCAGATTCAGATCCACCAGTTACCTGAGCTATCAATAATTCCCTATCAAAACTCTTACATTTGCCCCGACTAAACTCGTAGAAGCAGAAGCTGTAGGCTGATGTGTACTTACACCATAGCTAGCTGCATACTCATCATATAATCTTTGAAAATAAGTTCTAATAGTATTATCATGAGTAATAGCAGTAATAGTTTGACCATCATCTGTGTTTATTATCATGTTACCATATAAAGAATTTAACAAATTTCGAAGGCCAACATCCTTCAAACATGGATCAATAAAAATCCTCAAACCAAAAATAATAGGAATATGCCTAAAATGCTTATTAAATTTACTTTCCATTTGAAAAATCATATTTTCAAAATAATTATCCATACAATAATTATTAAAAAATTTTGAATATTTAAAACTTGTAAATCAGCTTGAATAATAATTGGATAATAACAACCAGATAATAACATAGTAGCATTATAAAAAACTTATAACATCTCTTTTATACTATATATAACTAACCATTCGTCCTTAGTTATTCCATACATATTACCAGAGCTAGAACTAGAAGTATAAAAAGCAATAAAATTATTTATAATTTTTTATACTCTATTGCTACATTTAACATTGTATAGGTAAAATTCCACCTATGGGCAACATCTTTTGGAATTAATCTGGGTTTAAAATTTTTTCTTCTACACAATTGGTTCCGTCTTTTAAGTCTTTGTTTAGAAGCATTATGAGCATAAGCTATTGTCCTAACATTTTCTATCATGGATTTAATTTCACCAAATGCACTTTGAACAATTAAATTTAAAATATGATACATACATCTAATATGAAAAATATCACCATGACATGGCAATAGCAAAGATGATTTGATATGATCAACAGCTACATTACTATTACTTGCATTATCTAGTGAAAGAGAAAATATTTTTTCTGAAATTTCTAATTTTGTAAGTTCTTCTATTATTAAATTTGCAATATCAATACCGCTATGTGAATCTTCAAATGCAATAAAAGAAATAATTCGTTTAAACATTTGCCAATTATCATCAATCTAGTGCGCTATGATACATAAATAACCAGTTTGTGCTCTATATGTCTAAATATCAGAAATTAAAAAAATTACAGTTTAAATTTTAAAAATAAAAAATTACTTTTGATTATTCATCGTGATAATATTTTAAAATATCACGTTGATAAGATTGACGAGAAAATTCGACCGGACACCGGGCCACACCCGGGCATTGGGCCCAGATGGACTGGCCTAGTCT